CCTTAACACTAACCAGGCAGTGAATGCCAGCGTTTCAGAAGCAGAGCTGGGAGGGTCTTTGTGGAATATGAGAATCAAAAACGTAGATAATAAAAAGGTTTAAGTGGATAAAACTAATAAAGCCTCCAATAGGTTTACAAACCTCTCGGTTTTAATTCTAATAGAAAATAATAGTAAAAATGTAGAATTTTCAGGATTATAATTCTCATATTTAGTGGTGTAAATTTTACTACACTTTCCACTCTTTCACAGTGGAGAACCGTGGCCTTAGACGTGACACTCAGCTGCAAACCACCCCAGTGCAAGCTGGAGTTTGTCATACATTAACTCCAAAAGGAAAGCAAAAGATCTCGTCTCTGCTCTTTGCAACGATGAAAGCAAAGCAGAGAAGCAGAAAACCAGGAAATTCGTGTTGTCAGATATTGTCAGTGGAATAACATGAAGGAAAACACGGAGAGTGGGGGAAGTACATAGAGTGGATAGTGGGAATAAAACCCACAGCCTTGAGTACAGGCCAAGTCTTCGTTTTGGGGAGTGGGGGCAGTTGAAACACAATCTCACACCAGTTTGTAATAAAAAAGTTAGAAAATGCAATAAATATTTTACATACGCACACACAGAAAAGGAAGAGAGCATAGAATATAGAATAATTCGTGCATGGGTTATGGAGGAAACTGCTTATTTGAGATGCTTATAAGATAGATAGATAGATAGATAGACAGACAGACAGACAGACAGACAGACAGACAGACAGACAGACAGACAGACAGACAGACAGACAGATAGAAGCTTCACAAGTAGTCTCAACAGTAAATAGATAATGTGAGTGGACAGCTAACAACAAGCAAGCTTTTTAATGTTGAACAGTGCTTTATTTATTCAGCAGTAAACTCTGTTCAAACCTTTTTGGCATTTCACTGCTTGAAGAAAATAAGAGAGCAGCAGCCACTGAGGAGAGAGCCAATACATCTTTGAACCTGACAGAGCTGTCACTTTATAGTTACAGGCAGAAAGCAAATACAAACAAAGACTTTACACTGGAGCAAGATTGACAGAAACAATACTTCAGGTCATATATCAATATATTCACAGAGAACACTGCTGCATGCTGTGGCTGTTGATTTACAGAATGTACCCGGAAAACGGTATTTTACAAAATGACAGAGTAGTATTTCACAGTTTCACATAAATGGCTGCAGAGGTGGTCACTTCAGACGTACACAGATACACACGATGCAAAATAACACATTGCTATTCTTGTAAGGACTTGTTTTAAATGCATTACTGGCCTGACAAATGCTTTTTTTTTTCTCCTTTTTTTGCTGTTTTTAATAAAAACACAGCCAAAACAAGATGTAAAGCTGCAAGAGGTCTGAGACCTGCATTCTTCCTCCAGGAAGTATTACAGCCAAAAACAGCTGGTTAAAAAAAAGCGTGGCACATTCAAGAAAAGTTCTTTTGTGTTTATTAAAAAACAAAAATCCAAAACAATAAGTGAATTTAGACGGGACCTACAGTAGCAAATGTGGCTGGACAGATGGAAAACGCTGTGATCTAGCTTGATATCAGCAGGGACAAACTTTCTCCTGCCTTAATAAATATTTACTTTATGTTATTAGTATGTTGGCGGTCAAATTAACATGATTTTTTTTATTTGTTGTGCCCCTGTGGTTGTAGATTATCAATAAAATTTGCACAGCTGGAGAGAGAAGACAGGGGGAGTGTTTCTTAGCTTTTCAAGGAGGGCATCTCTGAAAAATTTGAGAACCATGCTAAGTCAACAATGCCAAGAGTACATAATGAGGAGGCCGGGGTGGTTTCAAATTGCATGGAGGAATCAGTGAATTCAAGGTGGCAAGTGTCCCGTAAAACTTTCCCTGCTGAACATCTATAATTGTGGAAGAAATTCAGCTGGAAGTCAAGAAGCTAATGAATGAGCCACTGACTGAGAAACATAAGCACTTTACTAGAAAAGCTTTGTAGTTTGAAACAATCCTCTCTCAGATGATCCTCTGTCTGAAACAAGCCAATTTATCTATTGTTTTTCCTCTTTGCTGCTTCTTTTAAACATAAAGGTTTAACAGCAGATGGCCACATTAGCGATATCCAGTCTTTTTGATCTCATACCAGGAGAAGAAAAAAACTGCCTGAAACTGAAGCCTGAGATTTTGGCTCACATGGATTACTTGTTCACATGCTGACCTCATTATTTGAACCACAGCCTTGGTGAATGTGAACATTCCCAATTTTAACTCTATGTATATATAACAGAAAATAAGGAAAAACATGTGAAATCTTTTTTAAACTTACTTTCAGCTTATTTTATTAACTTATTTTCAGTGTAATCCATTTGATGGGGTTACACTGAAATGGTTTATGATTCTTTGGTCAGTTTTAATTTCGGTTAACTATACAAATTTATGCTGTTAACCAACTGCTAACTTTACCTTTTCAGGAGACTGCCACCAAGTTTCTGTTAGCGTTTGTTTAAGAGAAGGCTCAAAACAAGTTTTCTGATCCACTTCCCAGTGTAACCAGATACTTCCCGTGGACCATGCAGGACAGAAACAGACTTCACTACTAAGCCATGTTCATTACATTTAAGCAAATTGTCTTGTGTGTAATTTGGACAATGAAAATCAAAGACATAGGACACAGAAGCTATATCAGGCTGCAGCCTCACACACAGTATTTCTGTAAGCAAATTCACTTAAACCCAGATAAAATAATGCCATTTATCCTGAACCTTTAGTATAATCCTATGAATAATCCACATCTTACAATTAGCAGAGTGCAAACGACAAAATGATGCCTGAATTGTTGTCAGTTTTTAGGCTGGCTGGATATTGTGACCCTTGTAAGTATAGAAATAGACACACGCCTGTAGATACATCCAAGCTCACAAATTACTTTTGACAGTTGTGTGTTCGTCCTCTGCTCCCTCCACTTACATCGCACCAGTTGTCCCAGTAGGGCGGGACTCTGCTCACACTAAATGCTCCCTTTATCGAGTCCCTGGGCCTGGCTCGGACACTGCACAGTAGGACAGTGTGTGTCCATGTGTGTGTTCGCTGAGTTGAAGAGCAGTTGTCGATGACAGCTGCATGAGAGGAGGGAGAGAAAGAGTCAAGTGGCCTCAAATAGCCGACGTTCTCCTCATTCATCTGAAAGACTTCGCCACTCTTTCTCTCTCACTCAGCAGCCATTCGTGTGAAGTTCACATTTCTTTTGCTGACACAGCCATACAGTTTCATAAAACGCTCATAACAAAGAGGTAAGCACAGTCCGCTCTGCAGTGAAGTTTAGAGGTCAATCTGCTGCTGTCGTAGAAATGTCCCTCCTAGTCTATCAGCGGTAGGTAAAAGGCTCTGGTTATGCAGTTCGACCCATCAAGTAGTTTTACATTAAATATATACCATGGCAACATGCTTTAATCCACTTTAAGTGGTTTTTCAACCAACACCAAATGTCTCAGTTAACCTGTAAATGTATCGTCATGTATATTTTCTGTGACATGAGTTATCGTTGTGTAAAGGGAACCTATCATGCTTATTTACAGCTCAGAACTTTCATTCTTAGACTCTACCAGAGTAGCTTTGCATGAATCACTGTTTTCTTTGGCCATTTTCCTGCTTTTTCTTTCATTTTTAGTCCAGTCCTTGAACCTGACCATTTTCAGAGAACCCTTAAATCGTTCAAGTATAAAAAGGCACCTAACTCAAAGCATTAACCACTGTTGTGTCTACAGTAACAACCTAGCAAAGAACCAGTTTTAAATTGTACATCTACAGTAGGCACTTTGCTAGTAGCAAGCTGCTGCATAAGCACATTCCTATAGCTGAATCTATGAAAAACACCAAAGATAACAGTTTAAAAGGAATAAAATTATATTTTTGCACCAACAAGGTGATTCCCAAAGACCTACTAGCTCAACAATTTAAATCTCCTGCCATGATGTGCACTGTCTTAAAAAAAATTAAGGTGGTCATACCAAATATTGACTTTCAAGCTGTTTCATAATGGCCAAACTTTGCATTTGTGTTTGCACATGCTCCACTATACTGCTCCTATTTCCAATTTCCCATGCAAAACATAAAGAAAAGTTATTTTGAATGACCAAAAATAGTAAAGAAAGCAATAACAGGTCCCCTTTAATAGTGTATTTTGGGTTATTTTTGTTTGGGTTATGACCAAGAAGAAGCAGTTGGCAGCGTTTTCAAGCAAGCACTGATTTGGTGAAGTTTGAAAAGTGTGATATTTATCCTAAAGTGTGATTCAATTTGGACTACAAATAAAATGTTTAGAGACCTTTACATCACATGTTGGTGGAAGAGGTTTTTCTGTCAGGGCCAACAATGTGCTCAATATGCCAAGAAAACAGGAACTTGTGATTTTTAAACATCACAAGTTCCTGAACCTTGAGATTTTCAGTATAAACACAAATAAAACAGAAAGGCAGCAAAACGGTGCAGTATAATTGGTGTAATAATTTCAGCACGTAATGCAACATGTAATGCTCCTGCAGTAACCTTGATGAAAACATTTTAAATTTTAAACCAAATGCACTTGAGATGTTTCGGAATCATCAAATCTATGCTTACTGAGCTAACAGCCTGTGTATCTGCTGCACTCAAAGGCAACAAAGTCTGCATTCCTATCCTGTTAATCATAGCCATCTGCAGTTATTAACCATAAAAAATGTAAAGAAAAACAAAACATTTTGTAAAGATATTGATTTGTTTTCCAACATCTTTGTTGTGGTATTGTCATATATATTAAATCCTCAGTGACACAGGCCTAGACGCCAAGCGGTGACATCGGGTTAGCTATGCTGAAGTGTGCATTTTGACTGAAAGCTGCTTTTTTGAGGTTGGTAATGTCAAAATGGTTACATGGAGATATACAGTGCAGCACTAAAAACTTCCTTGCGATTGCTTCAGTCAAAAGCAGAGTTCCTCAGTCATGCTGAATTGTCTGTTAACATTCGCCAACTACTCAAAAAGCAAAGTGAAACTGTCAAAACTGCGATGCAAATTTGAAATGGAGACCTTTGGCCCTTAAAGTAAAAACTGTGCACTTTAAACTGAGTCGGTTTCAGCAGTAAGTCACTTTTACTTTGAAGGCAGTTCCAGCTTCACACTATTAAGTTTCACAACATCCTGGCGAGTGAATGGCAAGTCTTTGCAGATGAGTCAGCATCTCCGGGCAACGATTTACCTGGTGGTGGCCACCAACCACAAGCAACCATTCACCAATGGCTCAACGAATCCACATTTGTCCCTCACGACTAGAGGTTGCGGGGATTACTGATTGATCTTCAGGTCTGTGTTACTGAGCCCTAACTTTGTGCAGTGCCATATGAGACAACAGTTTGCTTCATCTTTAAAATGTATGAGCACACTTAAAGGAACCTCACACATTTTCCCATATTTTCCCAGTTTTGGAGATACTAGCTGCCTTTCTCTTGAATTCAGTGGAACTACACAGCATTCATCTTGTGGTGTTCAAAGCACCAATAATGTGGATATTTTTAAAAAACTGCAATTGTGTCTCCTTCTACAAATCATGACCCAGAAGCCTGTTTTGTTTTGCTTTGTTCGTGCCAAGCTACACCTGCTGAACATAGTTTCCATGTGGCACATTGAAAGACAGGGCCTGAATTTGGTAGAGAGGAAATAGTTCTAGATGGTGGATTTTAAAAAAATATGATGTGCTCATTTTTTCTGGAATGACGTACTGCTGCTATGTCTGCCACTTTAAACACCACATTGTCACTTAGTGCAATTTTAGGAGAAGGCAGCTGATGTATAAAAAACTGGGCATCTCACATCAAAACAGTTCAGATGGATATTTAGCGCTACAAGCCAGGAAAAATATGCCTCTTTAAATTTCTAAGGTTTGAAGCTGTAATCATGGCTTAAATATCTTTTGATATCAGTTTAAATTCATTCATTCAGGTTACATTTAATGTGTACTGTGCTGTGCCGGATGAAACATTACTCCATGTATACCCAAAAAGTTTGTCCTCCTCCCTTCGCTCTCTGCCAAAATCTTGATGTGCTGCCTCCTTGACACCAGCGTGGCCTTTCCTCCAGCCATAACACACTCCTAGTGTCTGAGCCCAGTTGCCCCAGTGAGGCAAGTCCTGCCAAGTCCTTTCAGGCGCTAGTCTTTGGAGTCCGACAGCACATGTGTCTCTGTCCGTCTGTCCAAAGACTTTTTCCACTTTAGGAATGTTGTCCCTGCCTGTTACAGAAGCACAAAGAGTCTTGTCTTTGTCCATATCCATCAAGATCATATTTTCTCTCTCTCCCCTCTGCGAGTCCACTTTTGTTTCCATGTTCGCTGTGTATCCACACTGTTGCCCTTCAGCTCAGCAGGGCTGCACTGCTGCTGCACAGTCCGCCGTAACACAGAGCTGCAAGTAAACCAGAAGCCGTTACAGCAGGAAAAAGAAACTGCTGCCTCACTGTTTTTGTCTATCTGTCAATTTATCTGTCAGTCATCCCACAACAGCAGTAGAGTAGAGCAGGAGTGCAGGAAAGCGGCTACAGCCAAAGTAGTAGACAAGAAGAGGGGGGAGGGGGGTCTCAGTGGTCTCTAAAACCAGTACAAATCCTTGCTCTTATCCTGTGCTGGCAGACCTGAGAGAAAAGGAGAGAAAAGCAGGAAAAGAAAAGACAGAGAAGGAAAAGAAGGTAGATTAGAAAACGAGGCGCAAATGCCCTGTTGATAAAAGCAGAAGGAACTGCCCGAGGCAGAGGGGGATGAAAGCGCGACAGCAACAGAAAAGAAAGTTGACAGCTGGTGTTAAGGTGCTGATTGACAGCCAGTTTGTTGGTTTAAACCACTTGTGTAAGTTGATCTCAGGCAGGGAAACAGAACGTTATTTCATTCTGCTTTTCACAGTATGTTACTAAAGCTGTTTCCCCCCAATTAGATATTGAGAGATACACAGAAAGAGAAGGTTATAATGAATGCTAGAGCAGCCTCATTTATTAATTAGTTTTCTAAATGAGTGCGCTTTTTGACAAATCAAGTTCAACATCTGCACAAACAAGCAGCAAAGGTTTAGCATGTCAATATAGACAGCAGAAAATCCATTTAAAAGACTGATATCAGTGTCAATATGAATGTCACTTACTGGTTTTCACGGGTGGTTTTCATCGACTCGAAGTCAAAGTGTAAGCTCACATCTTAAGCTCAATTGATTGATTTTGTTTCAATTACTTCAGTCCCATAACAAGTTAACCTTGCATCTCATTACACAGTTTTCCCGAGCCTTTCATTCTTCTCAAACAGTATTTAAAAGAAAAAAATCCAGTAACCGACACTTCACAGATATGTCTGTTCTCGGTGTCTTTCACCAATACTAATTACCAATGAGAACGAATCCAATGAGAAGAATGCGACGCAGCATTTAAATCAATCCAGTCTGCAATTTGTATTAAGACTGTTCTGTTCTAACCTCACAACAACAAATCAACATAAAACAATTATTCTTCTGTGTTTGCTTTGAATCTCTTAGTGTGGGAAAACATTTTTATCTCAATTTCCAATTAAAGGTCGTGCTCTTTCTGAGATCTTTGATATCCGAGGAGTTCTCAGTCCTATTATTACTCAGTACTAGAGTAGTTTTGGATGATTTACACAAGCAGATTAAGCCAACTTTCTTTTAGGATTTCTTTTGGATATCCACACTCATTCCTAAAACTAGGAAGAACTTTCAAAAATCAAGTGTTTAGCAGTATTAAACCTGAGCTTTTGGCTCATATACTGACAAAAATATGTATGACAGTAAATAAAGAAAAACATAACAGGTCTCTCTTTATTTAAGCTAACATTTTAAGTAAACAATGACCAGCCGACATGCAATTTGAGGGCCTCATCACAACTCACCAAAATACTTGCCATCGACCCCTGAGGCAAAGCAAGCAGACTAAACCTTATCCACTGCAGGATTCTGCCATTAATTCGTTTTTCTTCTCTAACCATTCATGAAGTTTGCATTGTTTCATAACAAAAGCTTAGAGAGCATTAATAGAGAAAGCATAATACATCTTAATCTGAAAGCTGAGGCCTTAAATAGGATTCAAATAACTTTAGCTATCTAAAAATGTTAAATTTTGCATGTTAAAAGATTATTTTTAACTTACGCGATGACAAGAAGATATCCAAAAATTAAATTGAGGGGCTTTTTATTGCAAAATTTACCTTCCAGTGCTTGGTTTGGAACTATTTTACAAAGAAAGCGGTTCTACTCAAACAAAAATATTTTAGATTTTTGATTAAACTTGGTTGTTGAATTGCTGGGCCTCTCTTCCCCAAGCACAAAGCTCATCATTGTTTTATCACTGTTTTACTAAAAATAGGCTGCTGACTAAAAAGCTGGTGTAAAAGTCATTTTGTCATAACTGTGCAGAATGTGTGTGCTGCAGTTCAGCCTTTTGTTAGTTCTATTTGTTTAGTGCATATGACAGTTGTTGCAATTCTGATGAGGAGAGATCCTCCTGTTCATCATCCAGCTGTTTCTTCTTTTTTCTGTCTATTTTAGCTCAAGTGCCCACTTGAGTTGAATTTTCTGTTACCTGAAGGACAGAAGATGCAGTTTTCTATGCAGATCCTAAAATAAATCGACTTCAAAATTGGCAGTACCTGTGTCCATGTTCAGTCCAATCTCTGTTCCTGCCCCCGTGAAGGCACCGCTCCAGGTCGACCCCGTCCCCGATTCCCCTTTACCCCCGAGGTCACAGGGAGAGCCACTGGGCCCCGGTACCGAGCTGCCGGACGTCAGGCGGTGGTGCGACCTCACTGACGGCACCAGCAGCGAGCCGTAGCGTGGGTCGAACGCTGTGCCGTACATCTCGTGAACACCTGGACGTGGGTAAGCTGAGCTCTGGGTGCTTATAGCACCTCCTAGCGAGTAAGGGTGATGGTGGTGATGGTGGTGGTGGTGGGATGGGTGCCAGGCATCGGGGCTGGGCTGGTGGAGGTGGCTGTGCAGGGAGGCAGAGGAGTAAGGGTCACCTGGAAAGGAGAGCTCTGTGTGGGGAGCCGACAGAGCGCTGCCCAGTGTGGAGGAGACTGACGGCTGGTAGGAACTGTTCCAGAAAGACGGAGGGAAACTTCTCTGGCTCATAGGAAAGGATCCATCTGTGAAGATAGAAATGCACATTAATGAAGGAAACTCATTTCATAAGTATGACACACCTACTTATTTAGACTTTTAAAAAGTATGTAGCTTGTGGTTGAAGGTTCATTCTTGACTGTTGTTTTGAAACAAGGATAATTTTTTTAGCGTCATAATTTATGGTATGCGTATTGAATTTATCGCAACTTATTGATCATCTTTTTAAGGCAAAAAAGCATAAAATACAGTCTTTTCAGCTCCTTTAATGTGAATTTTGCTGCTTTTCTTTCTTTAATATCACTGCAAGTGGAATCAGTTAGTTTTTTTAGACAGTTTAAAAATGTAATTTGAAGCTGTGTCCTTGGCAATGTGGTATTTGTGATGGTCATTTCTCACATTTTTCTGATATTTTATGTACAAGATAATCAATGACTGCAAAATAGTCGATGCAATTTTAAAGCAAGCGCTGCTGAGTAATAATAATAATAATAATTATGAGGCTTGAGGATAGTAAGTTTTGTTACAAAATGGTACGACAATTTAAATTCCTTCCTCACTCACAATCGGTCATTTTTTTGCTAATAAAACTTACATAAAGGTGCTGGATTTAAAAAGTGTTTGCTAAACGGGAAGAAAGGAAAAGCAACTCAATTCAGCATAGATTTCAAAAATAATAAAGGAATGAATCCTTTTATGTCGGCTTTTATCATCCCTTTATGTTAACACAGCTAAAACTGAATATTAATGGGGATAGCAATTCAGTTTCTTTTAATTCTTTAGCTGATGGAAAGAATCACCGGTTAACGTGACCCTAAAAAGGATTTCACTTCAGCGAAACCTGTGATAGATGTAATGTCATTAAAAGCGATATACAAAAAAATAAATGAGAAAATTCCTGGCAAATACTTTTAATTGTGCACTGAATTTATATCTTTGGATAAATATGTAGCTCTCACCATCTTTAATCTGACCCTGTAAAGGTATTCCTGTTGTTGCATATATTTAAATCACTCCAAATCAGATAACTGGCAGCAACACAATGTGGATTTCTTAACATATTGTCATATGTTTTTGTTATCATCTCTTTTTCGTTGCCATAGTTTACACAATAAAAAATACAAATTCAGACATGAGTGCTCAGGTGTAGTTGAGTTATTTCATTCTCATATTTCCTTTGGGACTAAAATTCACTGAATTATTTTAGTATTTTTTATCTGCATTGTCTCCTTTCTCTTATTTTGTTGGGGACGTTGCACTTGGGCACCAATTATGGCAACCCCCCCCCCCCCCGCCTTGGATTTATTACTTCCTGAGAATTCTATCCTAAACCAATTAGATCAGGCGTGGGTTGATCATCAGTTTGCTTTGTGTTTTTGTGCTCTCTGGTCCAATTCCAATCCGGCCCCTTCACACTCCCGCTCCGTCACAAGTGTAACTCCACGAAGAGTCACACTTGTGGCTGCTGAAGGATCGCTTAATTAATGGATATGGTAGAATCGTAGCGGCAACCTCTGGGATGTTCTCGCCTTTCTCAGCTCAAAACAGGAACTTGCAATCAGCATCTGGAGTGTCTGGATGTATTAAGATCGGGTCCATTACTTATTGGAAAATACAACTGCTCCGTTTCAATTTCATTTCCTTCACAGAGTGTGGTTAGTAAGCCTGCACTGGTGCAGCTTTGGCTTTGGTGGGTTTATAACCCACTTCCACTCAAGGCTAATTGGTTTGGAATAGCACTTAATGTAGGGGACCGTCCACGCAAAGGCGCAAAGGGACTGAAAGCATGCAGGGAGGGGGGTGTAGCTGCCAGATTGTAATTGGGCCTCTGACTCTGATGAAGTCACGGTAGTGTTGAAGCAGGATTATTCCACTGAATTTTCCTCGGAAAATGCAAAGTCAAGGCTCAATTAAAAACTTTTTCCCCCCTTAGAAGGACACAACATATAATTATGTTGAGCATGATGGGGTTTTTTTAATAAAAAATGATTCTATTTATGTGATTTTACTGTAATAGTCAGTAAAACTTCTGTTTTCATTTTAAGATATTTGCACAATGGACCATTATCACACTTGTGGTGCATATGAAACACGTCTCTCCCTCTAAATAATCTGAAAGCTGTTTCAGAGGTGTTTCTTTATAGACTAAATTCTTCTTTTTATTCACAAGAACAGGCTGAATTACGCCTACTTATTGAATACCTACTTATCGTACTATTTGTATTTATCATATGTATGTTTCCTATATTTAATAGATACAATCAGTTATTTTACTTGTAATTTTCTACCACTAAAGTTAAATAGCAGCTTTCATCATTGTTAGTGATGGTTCACATCAAAAGGTGGCATTAAAATCAATCCTACAATTTTAAAGACATACACACTTTTTGGGGACATACATGACACACAACTTTCCATTATCCTTTCTATACACATGGACAATTCCTAAAAAAACACTATAAAAAGTTGGCATTACACATTTAAAAATATCACACCAGTGCATGTAAATAGATGCCTGGGGCATAATTGATTCTACTCAATCACTTTAATATTTAAAGACAATGAAAAGCAGCATAAAACTCCACTAAAAGAAATAAGTGGCAAATATGCAGGAATATTTAAGTATCACCAGTGGAAAAGGGCCACAACGCTGAGTCCGCCAATGTCAACATCAGAAAAAAGATCACACACCACACAACCTGAGAATATTAAGGCATTTCATGAGTAGAAATGTGAAATGTTGAGAAATGTTGCCTACAATTCTCAAAATACTGACAAAATAATCCACTAATACACACATATGTGTGTGTATGTATACATACATATATACAAAAAGAAATACTACACACCTCTTACGGCCTTGTGGCTGCTCGATGCGGGGTATGCACTCGTCTGGCTGAGAGCTCGGCTGAAGTGTTCATCCACCACCGCACTGATATCGCCCTGGAAGTAAGTGAAGAGGACACAGCGGGAACTCAGGTACTCGGCACCGGGCGGCAGCTCCTTGTCCTCCTCTTTGATCGCCGGGGGGCCAAGCCGGCTGCCGCTGTCCTGGTGGTCTTGCATTTTGGAATACAAAGCCAACTTCTAAAAAGGACACAGATATATTTATATGATTGTAATAAAACAATATATTCATGCTTCTGATGCATATATAATGTTTTGTATTGACATGACATTTGACATCAAAAATATATTTCTATAAGGACACAGCAGGTTTTAGAGGAAGATAAAGGAACCCAGTTAGCATCTGCTTGTCTGAGACTGCATTGTCTTAAACTTTATAATAACTTACAAATTTGGCATTAATTTTGAAATTTAAAAAATAAAGTTTTTTGCAGTGTTTGGTCATTTAAAAAAAACAAAAACCAGCTAATACTTCCAGGTATGAATGAATAAACTGGAACATGCTGATATTATCAACATGTGAAGTAAAGTGGTCGTTTTAAAATATAATAATGTATTAAATGTGTGCATAGTAACTGATAATTACAAATAAATAAATAAAAATATATAAATAATAGTGTTAAAACAATATGTAAACGACTTAAGTAACATCAGGGCATCATATGATTGTTGGGTTTTTCTCTGTATCTATGAAGCGCCTTGAGGCGACTTTTGTTGTGATTTGGTGCTATATAAATAAAATTGAATTGAATTGAATATATAATTACTGTGTTATATGATAAATTCAGTTTAAATGACTAAACAAAATAAAGGATTAGAATTTGCTGTCTAGCAAGCACTGAAAATCTAGACTATAATAATGTGGTGTAGCTGGAACAGGCTCATCCCCAGGCTGTTTAGACCAGACAAAGTGAGTTGTAGCACTATGCGAAATATGTGTAGATGTTGACTGAGAGTAAAAAAGAAGCTCTTTAACAGGTCTAGAAAAGCCTGTTTAAAACTAGTCACTCTCTAACTTATGACCCTTGCAGGCTTCAGAGGTCCCACTGACAGAAGCAAATATAATATGAAAAGTTTTGTTAGTAGAAGAAGGACATTTAAGCTGAAAAAAATCTGAGATATACTTTCAAAAAGTGACAATATTACTTTAAACTTACTGATGTTACTTTAACAACTGCACTTAAAGATAAAACCCGAGTAGCAAATAATGTCTGTTGCAGTTTGAATAGCACACATAAAAATATTTTAAAGCAAGAAAATAAATACATTAATAAATAAATAAATACATTTTAAAACAAGTAAAGAGATAGAAGATTGTAAAGCAAATAAGTCTTCATTAAATATTTTTTATTATTATTTTATTTTAGTTGTACTTTTGACCACGTTAAATTAGAATGTTTATCTAATACTGCAATTGACTCTATACCACATATATAACCTATGAGGTAACTTAACAGTGACATAAATGCAAACAACATAAACTGTTGACGCAAAATTGAGTTTGAAACTTCTCTACACTTTACGTTTTGTGTAGCGAGTTTGAACCTTGCAGCAGGTAGCGCAGTGATACAGTCATTTTTATAAGATCCTAAGCGGTGATTAACTGTCTGTTTAACACATTTTTAAACGCGCGCTGTTTTTAAAGAGTGCTTTTAAGGGCTGTAAGTTTAGGATGTGCGCTTTAATGGCCTTTATCTTTTGGATTTATGCGTAATAAAGTTTTATTGACTTTAAATAAAGTTTCTGCATGTGGCTTGCAGCCTAAAGTGAAGACATAAGTCTTATAAAACACTTTATGTCTGTGTGTTCCGTACCTGGTGGTGATAGGGGCTGTAGGAGCTGAAATAAGGCTGAGGACCAAACACTTGGTACATCACATCCAGGCAGCTCATGGCGAAGAAATCACGGATAAGAACCAAGCTTCATTGATAGAGCGTGTATGGTCGGACGGAGCTGAAACAGTAATCCAGGAAGTGGTGGAAAACGGCACACTCTCAGACTCTCTCCGCTGAGCCGCTCTGCGCTCTTTACGCACTGGACTCACACTGAAGGGAACCCCTACAGCTTCCAACCCTCCTCCTCCTCCTCCCGCCACACACCCATTCTGACACCTCCTTCCTACCAATCCGAGCACAGAGCTCCGCCTCCGCCTTAATGGGCTTCTAATTACCGAAAACCAAAGGACACCGCTGAAGCGTGGAGCTCAGGCGTCTGCTGGAAAAAATGAAAAAATCTTCACTTATACTTTTGATAATTATACTATTATACTGTGCTCTATGAAAACTCTGTAATCATAGTCGTGGAAATTTTTTACAAAACTCCTTCCTTCATTATTTCCAATTAAGTGACTTTATTCAAGAATTGCTGCAGTGATTCACATGAACATTAATACAAAACATATAAAAGTTCATTGTTGACCTTGAAAATGATGCTGCGACAAAATACTGTCAAATGTCTATTTAGTTACTTTATTTAAAATTATTATGAAATTAATTTTGTAAATATTTCACTTGTCATGACAAACTCATGTCTGTAAGGAACGTTTTACATGGTAGTTAAAAAAATGATGACTTTATTCTAAAATTTCTGGATTTGTCTGCATTGTTGGGAGTGTTGGGTGTAAATGCCTTCAAATAATTTAAAATAGAGTCAAGTATTAGCATATTGGTCCAAATTAACTACACTGGCAGCCACATCATTAAAGAAAGGTGACATTAACATCCTGAACCTAGATCGGTCAGAGGTCACTTCCTGTTAATAGGTCATTCTTCCTCCCTACCATCATTAAGTGGTGCTCAAGTCTAATCTAAGTCTTAAGGGAACTCTCATTAATATTTTACCATACAAAACCGCTTTGAGACGACTGATGTTTCAACATAGTGCCATATAAATGCCATTTATTTGAATTGATCTGTCTCATTTTACAGTGCCGCTGCCGCATGCCTTCTGCTGAAAACCTTGGGACATGACATTCTTTTGTTTACATATGGATATGTTGAAGTGAGACTTTAAAACGCAGGATCCAAAGGACCTGCTGTAACTCTGCCATACACCACAGGATGACCTCAGAGGTCCCGTGTCCCGATGGGCTGACACTTTACGGAGACATGTGGCTTTTAATGCTGTGTTTGAGCGGTGTATTTTTACCCAGACACTGGGGGTGGGGCTGTGGGGAACCTATGTGGCACCAGGTTACCTGGTAACTTGTCTTTATTCTTATTTTCATTATTAACAATAATAATATGCTAATCAATAATCAACACCATATCAAGTTGTAAGTTTTGGTTTTATTTAGTTTTTTCTCTTAAACATGGGAAATTAGGTTTCTGCTTTTGTACGTTGGATAATAAGTACCATGATTTTTGAAAATGATATTTCCCAAAATTAAAAATTTGTGTAATACCCAGTGATACTGGGTTAAACAAAGACTATGCTGACAAGTCGGTTATGTTAACTTCCATCAGTAAGACTTTATGGTGAGTATGATGGTGCAGAGCTGCTGTCATTGCTCCCAGCTGAAGTTTTCCTCGTGGTTGAAGTCACAGTTGAGAATGTAACAACTGCTGCTTCCTGCTAATTGAATGAGTAAACAAATGAAACCAACCAATGAGTGGAATGTAAAGCTATGAACTTCCCCAATCCCTCAACGGCTGCCCAAATTCTGGAGGTCAAAGGTCAGATAGTTTGTTCCCGGTATGGTGGTATGTCAGTGTGAGTGTGTATAAATATGTAGACTTGTGTGTGATCTACGTGAAAGAAAATAGAAAAAGTCATAATTCATAGACTTACTGTAACACGCAGCTTCACCAGGTTTTAATTTAATCTGGTGTATTTAACATCTACAAAGCCAATGTCAGGACAAAATTAGTAATATAATTACACTGCAAGAGTCTTTTTTTAAAGCTACAATATAACACAATAATATACAGCAGTTATATTTGTTTCAAGCCCTGCTAACAATATTACTGACAATTATAAAACAACAGCAAAGGAATAAACTTATTACAGTGTAATAAAAACAATGTATTATGCTAATAGACAACAGCTCACTTTTAGCTTTCCTTTTGTTTTTTCTCATTTTTATTTATATCAGGTGATTCACGTGATTATATTCTTTATATGGTATATTGTGCTTTAAATTTTTTATTTTTTCTTATTGTGTTCTACAGAATTTCAAAGGACGCTTGCAAAAGGTTTGAAGCTGAATCATACTAAAATAATTTAAGATCATTTTAAGAGACCTGGAGGATAATACTTCATATTAGATATTATACTTCAGATAATATTTCAGTCAGCAGATGTTATCTCTGAACATTACTGCATCTGCTTCCTTGTGTTTGTGATGATTACATTTCTGACGTTTTGATTTAATTTAGTCTGGATGCTTTCGTATCGCACTCTTACATATATGTGTGAACTTCCTTGGTGAATTTTGCAGTGTGTATTTGTGTGTGTTGGTGTTATTGTTATGTAACCACATCTTTCTGAACTGCTGCCAATGATATTTTTAATCTCAATAGTATTATTGTCCTAAAAAACTCTAAAAAAAAGAAAAAAAAGAATCAGTTTTGCTTCAGGTTATATTAAATTAGATACGTTTACCTTGCACCAGAGTTATTAAAACTTTGTTGTTTGTTTATTTGTTTGCCTTTTCATCAGCATTTATTTATAGTTCTTTCTTTCTTTCTTTTTTGCCAAACCGGTCTTCTTGGTTCACTTTAGTTGTTATCATTTAAAAATTGTTATTTTGAATCTGCAAGGTCTAATATGGTCAGAATAGATATTGCATTACACATGCGAATCCCACTGACTCACAGTCAGGAGATCCAAGGCTCAACAAAGCATGTGATCCAAAAGTTTCCTCACACTGTAAAATCTAATATTGTGTTTAATTAAAAATATTAAATAGGCTGAACTCAGCTTTTATCAATTTGTTATTAGAACTCGATTTAAATAAGTTACCAGTACTTTTTATGCAAAAACGCTGATTAACTCAATTTATTTGGTGCATTTTTTCTGGAATATGTTGAGCAAACCTGGAGAAGCGTCAGCTCAAGATATTATTATTGTCATTGCTGTGGATCTTTACCTGATACACTGACTTGGTGAGTAAATTTTTATTCTTATTCAAACTGATTTTGTGGCTTCTCTTAGTTTAGCATCAGGTTTATAATCTTGCTAGCTAGTTAGTGTTAGCCTAGCGTTGCTGCTGCCGCTGGGCTCATGTTACTTAAAAATTAACACCACAGCCTTAAAAACCTTAAAAATATGTCTGTGAAATTTTCTGTTGATTGTTTGAAATAAGGGCTGGGCTATATCATACCGTTCGCGGTAATACCGGTGTAATTTTGGGCAACGATAAGAAAATGAAATATGGCGATAGAATATGGGTAAAACGCACATGCGCAGTGCCTTTGTTTTCATACGCACATGGCGGCAACGCAGAATGAGAAGGGCGAAAGTGGATTGTTAAATGAAATGGATGAACCAGAATTGGTTTGTAAAAATGCTGCAACTTCAGTGGTGTGGAACTGGTTTAGCTTTCGTCTAAAGCATTATTTTTGGTAGCGCATGCTAGCGGACCGTCGTTATTACTGTGTTGTTTGGAAAATATGGCACACTTAAAATCAATCCTTTGATTTTTCTGAAAATCGACAGTGCCCCTTATAATCCCGTGTGCCTTATGTATGAATTCTGGTTGTGTTTACTGACCTCGAAACGATTTTATGTCGTACGCGGCGCTCGAAGATCTGTCAAATATTTTAGTATGACTTTGCTAAGCTATGAGCACCGCTTGATGGATTGTCGGAACATTACGGCATCGTAGGCAGGAGCCTCGCGGAGTGATACCTACTGTGCTTTAACATAATATTACCATATTGTGTGTGTATAACCTCTTTTTAAGTTTTGTGGATATTATACATGGTTATGCTGAGGATATGTCGGCCAATTTCCACTGGAAATGCTTTTTGGTTAAACTGTCAGCAAGGAATTTGCACTGTTACATTTTTACATAACTTTAATGCACATAAAAAAACAGCTGCTAGTTTAAGTGAAAATACATTGATGGGGTTTTTTGCACTAATAAAGTTGTGGAGTTGTAAAGTATTTTGTCCAGTGTCAATTATATCGTCAGTTATATCGTTATCACAAATTTTCAAATGTATATCGTGATAAATATTTTTGGTCGTATCGCCCTGCTCTAATTTGAGCATTACACAGCTACATTCTCGCCTGAAAATATCTTAAAAGGTTATTTTGTGAACCAGAAAGGGTAATCTGGGGAAAAGGAGGATCGTATTTGTCAGCCGCAGTTGTTGGAGCCTGTGCATACTTGTAAGCGCGGCAATGGCGGAGGAGCGCGGCTAAAAAACATAACTTTTTCTTTCTTCAACTTGAAATGTTTGTCAGTAGGTAAACAATTAGTATTGTACAGTCAGAAATATCAAGTTATTTTTAATACTGCAGACTTGCAATGAATAAGTTGTCCTAACAGTCATCTTAAGCAAGCTTTACTCAGCAACGAGTTTGCATATTTTTTTTTAGTTCTGGAAACTACATAGGTTTTTACTCTGTACTTTAAGTGAATAAGTTGCCTTAACTTAGTCATCTTAAGTAAACTTTACTCAATTTTTTTGAGGCAACGGGTTTACATAGTTTTTTGAGTTTTGGGAACTAACGAGGCTGTACAGTGTACTCAAAATGAGTAAGTTGCCCTAACTTAATCATCTTAAGAAAAACTTTATTCAATTTTTTGAGGCAACGAGTTTACATTGTTTTTTTGAGTTCTGTGAACTAATTAGATTTTACAGTGCAGGCTTGTTGTGTTGACCGATTTGTCCAAAGGAAAAAAGCATTTCCTATCATTTTGCATTTAGCTTAAAGATTATTGTTTCAACATTACCATAATAACTGACTCACAAATCATACTGCATGCTAATTAAATGTTAGAAAAGTTTTAAAAACCTGTGTAAAGAGCAACCCTGGGCTATAAATAAACATTACAGATAAAAATGGGAGTGCACACTAAT